GCACCACTCCCGGCCTGAAAAAAATGCAAAACGGATCGGATCACTTCCAGACAGTCGCGCGATGTAGACAGATGGACAGATAGACAGATGGACCAGTTAACATGGACCAACAATCTCACCAGTGTTGAAGGATAACCACGGTTGCCTTTTTTGCAATACATGCGTTCCTGTCTTCCGTCTTTGAATTATTGCAAGTGCGAACTGAGCAAAACAAAATCCTTACTGTACGGGAGAAACCGTACTACCATTCAGCCCTGTAACATTCTTTCCATAGGGGAAACTTTGGTCGCTCTGCGGGACGGGATAAAATTATCCGATCGGAATAAAATTTTGCACACATCCTTGTGTCATAGTATCGACAAGATTTCCGACCCGGCCCGACGAATCCGACAAACTTTTCCAAAACGGACCACCCTAATATATATACACTTTTTTAAAATTTTTGCTCATTTCTCTGCTCTCACTCACCTTGCAGCTGTCATCTTCTACTCTATGAATTTTCCACGTGGAAGACAACAGTGTATGCAGTATTCATGGAGGACAATTTAGTTCCATTTTAAAACCATCCATTGTATGCCCTTGGCTCAAAAAAAAAAAAAAAAAAACACTGTGAGATCTCAGCGAGTGTGGATAAGAGGACACTTGATATCACCTTGAACATCTTCCACTTAGGTTTATAGCTTTGTCCCTTTAAATTGATAGCCCTGATTCAAGGGCAAATTATATCAATTTCCAGGAGAAGACCTGGCTGTGAAATTGTCGAGCATGCTTTGTATTTGCTTTCAACACCAAAGGATGGATTGATAGAGGCGTCATTTAATTTTGCTTCTTTGTCTCATAAAGAAAATCTCTTGAGATGTTTGTGTGCGCCACGTACCCGACAATTTGGGGTCGGTGAACATTTCTCACTGGGAAGAAAACAACATGCTGACCTTATTAAGTGATGCAGCCATGCACCCTCTTCATCCCGGCCACAGCTGTGAATGGTCCTCTTTGCTGTCCTGCTTTGTCACAATGACGCGGGACATTGTTGAAATATACTGCAAATAAAGAAAGGTGGCGATCAATGCTCAACACAGGTGCTACCGTTTTTACCTCAAGGATGCCCAAATTAATGTCGGTCTGTACAATGCCATCAAAAATTAAATACCTTCCCCTTCCCTTCCTGTTACCTGTTTGGTCATTGTCCTACTGCATAACCCAAACTAATTTGACCTTGAGGGCATGAATTGATGGCTGGACTTTCATCTGTGTCATTTTGGTAGACAGCAGAATTACATGCTACATTAATTACAGCAAGTCGTCCAGGCCCTGATGAAGCAAAGCGGGCCAAGCCCATTAAACTGTGACCAGAATGTTTGATTGTTGTCTTTTTCTTTATGTGTGTGTGTGTGTGTGTGTGTGTGTGTGTGTGTGTGTGTGTGAGTGAGTGAATAATTGCATTGTATCAAAATGTACAATAAGGAACCATCCTGTGGAAAAGGAGCATACATATGGGGAAAGCTGTCTTCTTAATCTGGTTTATTCCATATCTGATCAGAGAGAGTGTCTCATAAATATTGTTTCTACAAAGCAAGCGGCATAACTTCTCGATTTTACTTGTAAAAAAATGTGCTGGAACCATTTTAGCGCCATCTTAAAAATGTTCACTTTGGTAACACTAACAATTACGAACAAGAACATGTAATTTAGATGTCACAGTGCATTCTGGCGGCTCATTATTGCTTCCATGGTGTAATGGCATCAGTGTTTGATTTTGAAGGCACAAAATGTGACACAGAACGTCACATGTTTTTGAGGAGAAATAGGTAGGTGGTAGTCATAAAAAAACAGAAAGATTAGAACTGAGTTTCCGTGGCTATAATAGTTAGGAAACATGTTTCGCTTTCACCCACAAATTGTTGGACCAACTTTCCCAATGCGCCTAACAGCTCTTGTTTGCATATCTTTGTTGATGGAGCAACCACTGGCGTGATGATCTTTAGCAATCATTATGCTCTTTCCATTTCAGTGAATTTCTTCAATGTTGACACAACTGCCCTTTTGTCTGCAGGAAGAACTGGTTATATTTAGTGGCCAACATATTTTTTTGAGGCCGCGTTCATCCCGTTAAATTTAAATTTGAGTACTTTGTTCAAATTCGGCACCAGTGAGGGTTGGACATTCGCGGTCAAAGTCAGTGGGAACTCACAAAAAAATGTTTTTGGCAATATCTCAAACACACTCACTGATTCTGACTTCAGCCTACTGTGTAATGGGAAATTTGAGCTCTTTGTCAAAAAGGTCAAACTTACCATTTGCAGATGCGTACCAGGGTCGTTTTTGCTGATGTTTCTCAATTTCGGAACGTCATCAACATTATAGAATGGAAATTTGTCAAGAGTTTTGTCATCGCGATGATTGGAGTTTTAATTTCCAGTAATTTAAAAGGCAACCACTCTGACCAGAAACCGTGCTCTGCCTTTCTCCTTTTTTTTTTTTTTCCATGGTTATACATCATAGTTGTACAGCTCGGTTGAGCTCCAGTCCTGACATAAAGGTCAGCAGCTCCAGGCTGTCTGTCTGGCTGCACTTCTCCTCTTCTTCAATGCATCCTGAATGCCTAAATAAGGAAAGTTAGAAGACTCTTACTTGAAAGGTCATGCCGCAACACAGAACGGAAGCATGTGGAATTCTAGCTTATTAGTATTGGTATTTATTGTCCGCGAGTTTGCTTTTCATTAAGCACTCGGGCTGATGCGTTTTTGGAAAAGTGCTCTTTGTTGCTTTAGAAAAGATAAATATATAAAATTAACATCTTGATACAGTATTGACATTGTTTTTGCTGTGGTTTGGCTTTAATGAGTGGTCTGGAGGCACAGGTCCAAATGATTGTCAGGAAGCTCTGCGGCCAGCTTTGATTGTTCTGAGAACATGCGCTCTTAATGGTCGAGTGAGGAAATGGATGTTGATGAGTGCTTCCACTTTAACGCACAGCTCATCCAGAGAGTCAGCTGTCGTCAAGTTAAAACGTGGAAGTTAAAAACTATTTGCCATTCGATCAGAGGCAACGTTCACCTCCGGCGTAGGTAAAGTTCTAAACGAGTGAAGGGAAGCTGATTTCCCTGTCGTATCACTCGCTAATGTCATGCAGATGAGGAAGCTGTTGACCTGCTTCAGCCTTGGCACGTCATTCAGAACGCGAGGGCAATTAAACTCAACCTCGCGCCAATACCCCACCCCGACTCTCTTCACGAGCGCAATTGGAGAGCCAGCATGTCGGGAAGGATCAAGATAAAAGTAAAGGAGCGCGGGAGGATATGAAAATAAGAGACAAAGAATGTGGAAATGCACCCTTCGGGGATCAACTCCGAGAGGAGATGAGCGACAGAGCCGGGGGCCCGGGCGAGCGAGGGAATTGAGCGGCATGCGAGGGAATTGAGCGGCATACGCCTGAACTGGGGGGGAAAAAAAAAAAAAGAAGAAAGTAGGGGAACGCTCCGAGTTGAAGAGAAGATCTAAATTTAGACATGGAAATCAGGAGAGAGCAGCTGCCTCCTTTCCTCGGGAGATACATTTAAATCAGGTTTGGGTGGCCAGAAGGGAGAACCAAAGAAGCTCCTCCGCTGGTCAATTAGGCGCACAGAAGACTTCATTGTTCTAATAGAACCATCATGGCGGCCCCTTTGGCCATTTCGGTCCCAGTGGACCCTTCATGCACCGGCGTTCTTGGATGTCATTGGGCCTCCTCCTTGTGCAGTAACGTTCATTTGTACTCCGCACCTCGCGCCAATACCCCACCCCGACTCTCTTCACGAGCGCAATTGGAGAGCCAGCATGTCGGGAAGGATCAAGATAAAAGTAAAGGAGCGCGGGAGGATATGAAAATAAGAGACAAAGAATGTGGAAATGCACCCTTCGGGGATCAACTCCGAGAGGAGATGAGCGACAGAGCCGGGGGCCCGGGCGAGCGAGGGAATTGAGCGGCATGCGAGGGAATTGAGCGGCATACGCCTGAACTGGGGGGGAAAAAAAAAAAAAGAAGAAAGTAGGGGAACGCTCCGAGTTGAAGAGAAGATCTAAATTTAGACATGGAAATCAGGAGAGAGCAGCTGCCTCCTTTCCTCGGGAGATACATTTAAATCAGGTTTGGGTGGCCAGAAGGGAGAACCAAAGAAGCTCCTCCGCTGGTCAATTAGGCGCACAGAAGACTTCATTGTTCTAATAGAACCATCATGGCGGCCCCTTTGGCCATTTCGGTCCCAGTGGACCCTTCATGCACCGGCGTTCTTGGATGTCATTGGGCCTCCTCCTTGTGCAGTAACGTTCATTTGTACTCCGCAAACACATTATTCATCAGAATGCAGTGTTTAGACTGGTTGGGGAGGGTTATCGTCAAGAAAATTTCAAGACGTGAAATTGATACATGATATAAATTCACTACAACCAGTTCAGTAATTAATAACCACATTTTTTTTTGAATTCGTTCCGTTTGATTTGAATGGTTAAAGCTGACAGCCATTGAAAATCCACAACACGCATTCTCAAAAAAGTTGAATATGTAACATCAAAACGTGTGAACATGCATGCCGTTATTACAAAAAGGATTTTCCGTAAATGTTGCGTCATTGCTCACCAATATCAGAAGAACCCCCCCCCCCCCCCCCCCGAATAGATTACCCGACTGGAGAGAGAACATTGCCCGCAAGCAAAGAAAGCCACAGTAATAAAAGCGCAGACAAATTTCGAAACAATTTTTCCCCTAGGAAATAATCGGAGCTGCAGTAATCCGTTCAGGGGGTTCAAAATGCCCCCCCCCCCTTCATCATCAAACCTTTATTAACTGTTCAGGCATGTTTTAGGAGGCATTTCAACATTCTTAACTGTTGTACAAGTGAAAAGAAAAACTCCACTTGCATCTTCCATGATGAATGACTCGGGGGGGGCGGGGGGGAATGGCAACATTCCTGCTCTAAAAGAGTAAAAAGAAGTTAACCGCTGTAAAACCGTCATGTAAAACAATTCATCCTGTGGCCCGTTTAATGTAACAGTGGAGACTTACTTATTTATTAGGACGGTTACTTCAGGACAATTTTGGGGGGGTACGCTAGCCATCTGTGACTATGCGATACTGTGCACAGCCTTTCTTGAGCATCACCCGCGAGAGCCATCAATGTAGGAGGTTGACTATTAACTTCCCCTTTGTGGCCAGAGCCCAGGAAATTAAATCTTTCCCACCGGGCTGAACGGTATGTATGGGCAGCCCGTCGGCGCAAGTTGGGGGTGAAAGAAAATGAGGCAAAAGTAAGTGATGTGCAGAGAAGAAGCAATAAAGAGCGCAAGGACAGCGGCGAGAAGCTGGTAAATCACAGGGCAGAGCACGCCTCATGCAAAACTTGCATGAATAAAACATATTTCTCTCTTCCCAAAGCTCCGATCCATTTGCCTCCTCCTCGTCTTGCCTCTCTATCTCTTCCGTGCATGATTAACCTTGGGAGGCCTTCATCAACGCTGGAAATGACCCGTGCTCTTTGACTTACTCTTCACCTCCTCACAACAATCTCCCGCTCCCGCTTCATCTCTCCACGCCGGCTCCGATTGTGCGTTTTGTTTATCTCACCCGGGCTGTCAATTTAAGTATCTGACAGCTACTCAGTCAGGAATTCATTTGGAGTCTTTCATTTTGAATGTGCCCTTTTTCTCCAAAAAAAAAATATATATATACACCTAATTTCTTTCCACCGTGTGTGTTTTTTTTTTCCTTTATGATCCTCTCCTGGGGGAGTTAAGATGAGAGTTAAGTCTGGGATGAATAATCTTCCTAACCTAAGCCTTTATTCACACAGCCTTTAAAGCCCATCCTCTGGGGATGGGAACAGGGATAGATTTATGGTTATTTTTGTTTACTTGTTCCCTCCCTTGGCATACGCACAAATACGGCACATATAGGGGCAACGCGGTGTGGCGAGTGGTTGGCACAGCCGCCTTACAGCTCCGAGGTTCGAAACCGAGCTCAAAATGGTTGATCTCTGTGCTGCCGAGCCGCAGCTGTCCGTTGTGCTGAACTCTCTCCATGGTGCTGAAAGCCTGACTTTTTTTTGCAATCTACTGTTACCTTGTCTCGGTGCTTTTTTTTTTTTTTTTTTGTCATAGCGCTACCCACACATGCACTCAGCTCCCCAGGGAGCAGCTTTTAATTTGTTTTTCTCCGTGTAGCGAGGTTTCAGGGTCGCCACCGCAGGCTAAATGCAAGCCGTGATCTCCAATGCGGCGGTCTCAGTGGTTGGATGCCAAAATATGTTTGGGTTTTTTTTTCCCCCACACAGACCCAACACCTTAAATCTGGTTTGCATTCTATATTTACAGCTTAACGAATGAAGCGTCATGTCTTGTATTTTCTCTGTGTCGCAGGCATCAGCGGTCAGCATCCTCTGGTTCAGAATGTCACCGTGACAGAGGGCGGGACGGCCAACATGACATGTCGCGTGGAGTACAACGACAACACCTCCCTCCAGTGGTCCAACCCGGCACAGCAAACTCTCTTCTTCGGTGACAAGAAAGGTGAGTTGATTCCACAAAGCATGCCGCATTTCCTGTGTTCCAAACATGTCAAGTGGCATCATTCCTCTTAGTTAGAGTCCATCCATCCAGCTTCTCCTCATGATGGTGGCGGCTGAACTGGGGACTTTGGGTGAAAGGCTGGGACAGGTCAGCAGCCAATCGCCGGGTACATAGAGACAAACAAACATTCCTGTTCACCAATTATGGTCAATTTAGAGCATAGGTGTCAAATTCAAGGCACTGGGGCCAGATCCTGCCCTCACTGCACCGTTCATAGTTTGATGTGGCCCGCAAATCACGTGTGTCTACTTGCTGCTCCCGGCTTAAACAGATATGAAATATGTTAGAACAGGGGTGTTAAACTCATTTTTTGTCACGGGCCACTTGGGGGTTACGTCTTCCCTCAGAGGACCGTTATGACAGGGAAACTAAATAAATCTTGATATATAATGACTTGAACGGAACAAATTGATGGATTCCCAGTTTTGAAATTAGTCAAGTCAACTATAATAGTTTGTTCAATTATAGTTTGAGTGAGTGCTAATAGGATAACAAAATTATTGCGTAATCTCGCCATTATTTATGACACATTTTGGTACAGATTTTAACAAAAATCATTGAAGCTGACACACATGATTTGCTTTCGGAGGCCACATAAAATGATGTGGCAGGCCAGATCTGGCCCCCGGGCCTTGAGTTTGACACCTGTGTGTTAACAGTTCTTCCATCTGCATTTTTTTGTTTCGGTCCAAAGCTACAAGTGAACAAATGAGCTCCATTTGCCTTCTCAAGTTCGTCGAGCCTCAAAGGGTGTCCTTCCATTCGTGTCCGACCCTCATCACAGACACTTCAAAGCCACAAACTAAACCTTCGCAGAATTCAAATCTTTCGAATGCATGGAAACACATGTGGGCGTGGTACAAAGCCGCCGGTGTTTTAATAGCTAATAAGTACAAAAGCTTTATTTCTGACCTTTTTACACTCTCTTCAGTTAAGTCCTCATAAAGAGGATTCATGGATGTTATTTTGTAGGTTCAAGTCTGCTGACTGATTGCGTGCCGTGGCGTCTCTCGGCACCATTAGTGGAGTGTAATAGAGTATGAATCACACTCTCTTGTAAGTGTCCGGATTAAGCACGTATGGGATTTACACTTCTTCCATTATCCCTTCTCTCTGCCCACTGGCTCACTCGTCTGCATGTGTGCGCGCGCGCGCGTGCGTGCGTGTGTGTACACGTCTGCACTTTTTAGTCCCCGCGACTGCATGCACAAGCGAATTTCCGAGCGGTTCCGTCAGAGCGGCCGTAAAAAGCAGCCCTGAACATCAAATTCAACAGTTGATGTGCTCTGCAGGTTATTCCATATCGCACCGGG